TTCTTAAACAAGAAGTTAAATAATAAATCATTGAAGACCAAATACAAATGCCTTCAATACAACAAAAAATTCTATCAATACAAAAACAAATAGAAACATCAATATGTAGCGAACATCCCAATGCTTTTTGGGATAGGAAAAAACATAGTATCAGCCTACCATATGAATCAAACTTCAATGAAAACCAAATCCCTACTAGAGCTAGATCAATACAGATGAATACTGTTTTGTTGGAAATGTGTAGAAAAGAAATAGCAGAACTCCTACAGAGAAAGCTCATACGACCAAGTTCTTCACCTTGGAGTTGTGCAGCTTTTTATGTCAATAAAAATGCTGAAAAAGAACGAGGGGTTCCTCGACTGGTTATAAATTATAAGCCATTAAATAAAGTGTTAAAATGGATAAGATACACAATTCCAAATAAAAAAGATTTATTGAACAGAGTTGCTCAAGCATGTATATTTTCAAAATTTGATATGAAATCAGGATACTGGCAAATCCAGATCCAAGAGCAAGATAAATACAAGACCGCATTCAACGTTCCCTTTGGACAATACGAATGGAATGTAATGCCTTTCGGTTTAAAAAATGCACCATCAGAATTCCATATATATATATATATATATATATATATATGAAAAATGAGATTAGCTCATTAGCTCATATGAACATATGAGCCCAACGGCTCGGATTGAATCTAAGCCGATCTGACGATTACAACCTCATTTCATGTTTGAATTTTAAATTTTTTTTTACAAATCCAAATCACCTGAAATTTTAGACTTGCGTTTTTCTCATCAAGGCGCACCTAATAAAAATTTATTCGTAATCAAAATGACCAAAATACCCCCTAAACTTTTCGGAGGTATTTTGATCAATTTATTTCATGTAAAAAAAATTTTGATATTTTTCGAAGATTCAACTATTTTTTGATGAACATACTCCTAAAATTGCAAGTGATTTGGATTTGTAGAAAAACAATTAAAATTCAAACACTCCGGGACATCCGTGATCGTCAAATCAGCCCAAATTCTATCTGGGCCGTTGGGCTCATATGTTCATACGAGCTAATGGGCTAATCCCAGCTTTTTCCTATATATATGAGAAAGAGAGAATAGAGACAGGAGGAGATAGGTTACAATTTTTTTAGACATTTGAAGAATGGAAACCATTATTTAAACGGTACATTCATGGAGCAGTCACCACCGCATTTATTGGCTGCATGTGCCATCTGTTTTGCAACAGACGACCCTGATTTCCTCACACACCATCAGGTCAGGAGAGCACGGCAGCGGCCGAACTCCAATAAATAAGGTCCCGGCTGCACGCGTCATCCGTTTTCAAAAGGATACTCCGGACTGTGACTGTGTGAGGAAATATGGACCCTCTTGAACAGTGAATGCGGCGGAGACTGCATTTATTGGAAGCAGCCACGGCTGCAAGAAACCATTCATGTTAGCTAAATCCTGCTATTGAAGAAAACAAAAAAATTTCTTAGTTTTAATTTATTTTTTAAATCCATAAACCAAAAAGTAGATTTCGAATTAAATAAGACTAATTTTTATTTTTAAGATGATGGGAGATCCAAGTATGGTTGTTTTCAGCAGGAGTAAGTTTGATATTTTGTATTTTAAATAGGGTATTTGTGAAATAAACAAATTAAACCAGGGATGGCTTGAAATCTAATGCACGACCACCCTTAGGAACCCATATTTAGCATATGCTCATAGATATATACAGTTGAGAGCAATAATCCACCACATTAGCCCATTCCAGAGGGCAGAAAAAAAAAAAAGAACAAAAAAAAAAAGAAAAAAAGAAAGAAAAAAGAAAAGAAAAGAAGAAGAAGGATGAGAACACCTCTTTGTCTAGGCCAGAAAAACCACTCCATGTAAAATTTTTTCCGTAACCTCTTTCATAAAGATAAGATACCAAAGGATTCCTGTTCCAATGCATGAGTCACACAGTAAATAAACTAGCTAGGGTCATGTCACAGTCTTAAAGGAATTTGGAAGGAAGAATGTTCAACTTGGTTTCCATATTATGATATAATTGCTTCACAATAATAGCAAACTCCAGTGATATTCCGTTAGACAGCTTCATAAGAATCCTTGAAAGAACATATCAATTAACAATACCCAGAGGCAAGTTACATCAAGGCATGCCTCATTTTCCTCAACAAAAAGCCTATAAATTTCGTCCTAAATGTAAAGCAGTGAGAACAGTTTATATTGAAGTTTTATTTTCTTTTTCTTTTTTTTCACTTCTGAAAAAGAGCACGTATCAACATGAGATGAAAAATTAACAACTTGACCAGTCACTAAAAATTTATAAATTTTGACTTCAAGGAGATATCAAGCTTGACCAGATCCAGTCAAAAAAAAAAAAAATTCAAGCTCAATCAAATTGCAATTATATATTACACGAAACGTGGGGAAATGCAGAAGCTATCAGAAGCTTAATATCTACCAGAAAGTTATATTCTTTTGCAAAAGAATGGATACAAAAAATCAGATCAAAACTGAGTGCCTTGAGCATTCCCAAAAAGAAGTATTGGACATCTTGGAAGCAAAGATGCAGTGGAATCCCTGATAGTGTTAGAATATAATCTCTTATATCACAAGGGATATAACAACAAGAATTGGATATATTCAGGAACAAATAGGAAAGCTGTTCAACTTCAAACCATTAACATGCATTCAACAATATACCACTTTAGACCATCACCAATAAACTTTTGAAGGGTCATTTCCAAATCTAAAATCATTCCACAGTCCAACTGTACATACTCTGATGCCTAGGTTGTTTCTGGATGGTAGAAGTTATGCCTAGGCTGTTTCTGGATGGTAGAAGTCCAAATGAATTCAAGGATATTACTTTCTTAGGTCGAATTCATACATCCAACTTATTCACAAAACATTTTTGGAATATATACTTAATGCAAATCCTCTATTCGACTATTACAGCCTCCAGAATATTAATACATCTGATTAAAAGCCACATCGAGAAACGAGTACAAGATGCTTATAGCCTTATACTCTCTTGTTTACAGAGAATCTATTATTTGATCTAAAAATACATAAAGAGAATGATACAGCCAGATCTTAGAAAATTAACCTTAAAAGGTGAACATAAACCTGAAGACCTCAGTTGCGGAGGGCATCGCTCCAACATATTCATTGGAATCATCGGTCACAGAAAGGTCTATATATTCCTCATAGTTGGAGTAAGCTTTCTGGCAGTTCTGGCAACGAAAATTGAGCCCACGAGGAGATAATCTATATCATGCACGAATTGACAATGTCATGGACTATTTAAAACAACGATATCAGATTAGCTAGTGCATTTAACGACGAAGCCATTACTCATAAGGCCTCATAACAGATTACATTTTGGGATTTGCACCACTATTTCTGATCAATGGTTGATAACAGATTGGGCAAGCTAGACTATCCAAACGTGTCACTACATCATCATTTAAGCTCAGCTCCTAAAAAGAGAATAATCAGCATAGAAGAAATACTAAATAACATACAAAATTGATTTAGATATAAAAGCAAATCAAGATAGCTAATTTCAGGTATCGAGCTACTGTGGTCACCATAATCAGAAAAGAAAACCAGTAATATTGTACAAGCTGTCAGCTTGAAAATGAAAAAATAAAAAAAGGTTACATACAAATGAAGCTCAAAACCCTCTTTGTAGGCATTACCATTCAAACATCACAATGCACAATGTTGTTTATCTGCAGAAACCACTATCTTGTGTTTTCCTGAGCAAGCAAAAGGTCCGATTCTCTGTAGTCGCTGCATGTAGACTTCCTAAGAAGACCCATGCTATCAAATATGAAGGCCAGATTGTTTAAGATCAGCCAAGTAAAAAACAAGCCATACATCTACGATCTGGAGGGTGAAATTCTATTTAACTAAAAAATTTTGCAGATACCCTTATGGAACCAAGTGAGGTTTCTAATATTCATTTCACAATATTCAATGATTTTATTGTTTTAGAAATTTATGGAAAGTTTTAGCGAAATTTTACATTTGGCTGCCTACCTAACAACCCACCTCATGTACCCGGGCTTGAAACGGGTTAAGGGAAAGTTTTACATGCAAAATTTTACGTTGAGTGATTTTACAACCCCTTCTTTAGGTGTCTACCTAACAACCCCTTCTAGAAGAGCTTCAAAACATCATCCGGTGAGAAATCAAAATTTCAGAAGAACATACCAGACTTTAAGTGAAGGATTAAAAATATATATATTAAACATCTTCTTCCTCCAAACTTCGGCCCCAAAATTGGGATCTCACCTCCCCAGGAGCATTAGCATGAAAGCAATAATAAAATCACTCAATTCATGCTTACAAATACACAACCCGATCATAAACATGAAAAAATTTCATGATCAAAACATCTATGAAGAGCATAAACCCTAAAAACTATCAAAGTAAAGTAAAGCTGAGTACTTTTGGTTCAGTTAGGGCAGATCCAGTTGCAGATATCCGAACTCGGGTTCGAAGATTAGGGTGTTGATGAATCTTTGAAAGTGTAATTGGGACGGGGAAGATGCTGAGGCGCGTCGTGCTACGTGGTACTACGACGGACCTTGGGGCGGGCGCACCAGCTTCCAAGCACTGGAGCTGCCAGTTCCCTCTTCATCTTCCACACCAGACTCTGTTAGCAGTTTCGCACTCGTAATTCCTCACGAAATTTAGGCGCAATCTTAAGGAGGGGCCACTGTTTGTTTCAGTGATTCTGATTCCGTCGCCATTTAAGATACCGGTTAAGGCCGCTATGTGGTCCAATTTCAGGTGCCATACGAGGAATTGTGTACAGACACTGCAAAGGCCTCCATGTGAAGTCCGCCTCCCATGAGGTAAAAATAACGTGCAAATTATATACCCAACCACATTTGGTCTCTTATCATTGGGTGCCGTTTGCATAGAGCCGAGGTTCTAAACAATAAACCAAAGTAAAGTAAAGCACACTTTTAAATAGTGTCTACAAATTTCGTTTCTATGTAATATCTTTAAAATATATTTTCATTTTTAATTATAAAAATAAAAGTTTAAAAAAAAATAAAGATTGAGCAGATATATAAAAAATTGAAAATCTAAAAGATCGAAAGGTCTTAAAATGCGTTACAAGATGCACTATTTTCAAAACTTGAAATCCATTTTTTTTCTCATGTCCATGCATCTTGATGTAGAGACGGTCAATTTGAGGATCAAAACAACATCTTCTAATGAAATTTTTGAAGTGTGCTCTAATTTGATTGTTTAGAACCTTAGCTCTATATAAATATTTTCTGTTAACCGTTGGTATTCACCATGCCCAATATGGCACAAAAAGAACATTCCAATTCTTTTTTTCTAAGTTATCCCTATCCAGCAATAAAAACACTCAACATGGGCTATACTTTTCACAAAAATCTTGGGTGTTAGCGTTCCCACTCATAAGTGACTCTCTCTTTGTATCTCTCTCTTTTTCTCTTTCTCTAATTATCATTCTCTGGCATAACTACCTCTATCTCAGCCCTATTCCATCTCCACATGATAAGTTTTGAAGGCATAGCCCAAAAAACCAGATTATTTTTAAAGGAAAGAAAAATAAGTCTAAGATACAAATGCTGAAAAGAGTACCCATTTCAATTAAGAACTTAAATCTTTGTCTCTCCGAAGTTGCAGGCTTCCAAGTTCTACTCAGCATATCAAAAATGCAACGTTCTTCTTCCACTTCTGAGCTCCTCTCTTTTTCGAAGCTTCCAGCTGATGAAAATAGTTAAAAAATAATAATAATAATAATAACTTTATTGACAAATGGTAGAGAGAAAAATAGTTATGGAGAATGAAACGTTGATGTAAAGCTTATGGATAGCAAGAGGGATGGGCAGATGGCTATGAGATTTTCTGTATTTTCCAATCGGTTATTGAGCCTTTTTTATAAACGTTTCAACTTATCCCCTTGTCACATAGAGGTTTTACATTTAATGGTCTAGATTGTTTTATGCCCATATTAATAACTAAGCCTTATTTCTCTATTTTCCCTCTTGTTTTTTAAAGAAAATGTCTTGATACAAAAATGACTGTATTATTAGGTGATGCAGAAAGAAAGGAAATGACTTTTACTTTAAAAAAAGAAAAAGTCAAAAAATCTAAAAAAAAAAAAGTTATTATATAAAATTATTTAATGTATTTTAAAATAGTAAGAGAGAGATAAACCACAACTAAGTGATAATTATGAAGCATTAGTGGCCTTACTCCAATATAACTCTCTCTCTCTCTCTCTCTAACTTGGGCACTCTCTCTTCAATCTCTCAACTAAATGATGGAGCATTTACAGGTCCCATTATGGCAAAGACAAAGAAAGGAGGGCTACGATCTCACTCGATTGGATCGGCAAACTTGCAAATTTTCCTGCAAATCCCACCCTTGAAATTGTATTTCCTCTTATAAAATATCACTTCCACTCCAAAAATTCTCCAATTCTTCCTTCTTTTAAAAAAACAAAGCAAGAGAGAGAGAGATTCAGGATCAATGGGAAAGAAAGAGAGGGTGAAAAAGAGAGAGAGAGAATTGGAAGTGAGTTAGATTGAGAGGGAGAGCATGGGAGAATGAGCTAGAGAGAGAAATGGAAGAACTAGAGTGAGAGAGAAGCTAGGGTTTCAATAAGGAGAGCGATCGGTGGCCCAACTATATGTATCAGGTAGCAACTGCACCCTGTTCAGAAGGTTGGGCGGAAGTGAATGGAAGAGAGGAGCATTCGGATCACTCAACAATTGTTGCTACCTAGACCGTGACTGCAACTGAGGTCCCCCTCCCGGAGGCACCATCCCACCACCGCTGCCGCCCCCACCGCCTCGTCCTCATCCAAAGGCAACCTCTCATATGCCACGTTCCCAAACCATGCTACCATAGTGATGACAGGACCCGAAACCACCAACGCCGCCACCACGTTGCCCCCCACCACCTGCCCAATCTTCTCGCTGGAATTTGAGGATACTAGATAGTTGTAGTAAAACACCGGATAGCAAAGAACTAGGAAATGAAAGAATAGCATAGAACTAGAAAAAGTCGCTCTCGGTTCTTTATTGACCAACAAGGCTAACTTGACCAAAAAAAAAACCATAGGCATGGGTAGTTCTTGTAATATTGAGCAAATTGGATACCAAAGGGCAATAGACCCCCAATAAGGGTTGCTCCAGTGTTTGTCATATTAGTTTCATAGTCTTCTTCGGTTTGGTTAATAAAACAACCAATTTGGTGCTTTGACTGATTAGGAGGAAGACTTCCAATTTTTTAAAAAAATTAATATTAATAAAATATATATTTATACATAAAATAAAAATTAATAAAAAATTTAAAATAAAAATTCAATAAACAAAAGATAATTATATACTTCAGTATAAAGAGGCCATAGCACAGTTCTAAAAGACAATTTTGTGCTTCTACCAAAGAGGCTGAAGTGGGTCGAAGCGGTCCAAAGCAGATGCATTGGAGCTTTGCTTCGCTTTGGTCTAGGCCGAAAATCTAAAAACTACAACCGAAGCAGCAAATTTAACAATATTAATTCGTATGTAAGTTAGTCACATTTCAAATGAGGAAAATGGTTTGATAAGGCTGCAACCCAATCAAAATAAGCATAGCCTCATCTCACCTCATAACTTATACTTATTAAATATTATAATTGAAGCATTGAAAAAACTCTACATCAATCATCTCGGCTTGAACATTCAAAATAAGCAAAGCCACACCTCAAAACTTATTACTTATTAAATATTATAATTCAGGCATTGAAAAACCTCTACATCAATCATCTCGGCTTGAACATTATGGTTGTGAAAAAAAAAATTAGGATTTTAAGCTCTAACATTGATCAACAAAATTTCTTAATTAAAACAAAAAAATTTGGTTTTTTTTCTTGCTTTTTCCACCATTTTATTTCCTATTTGCTTTTTATTTTATTTTATTTTGATTTAAATCTTAGAATATAAAATAGAACTTTTGATTTTGACTAATTAGATTTATTTAACTTTCTGTATTTTTTGATAATTTATCCCTTTTTTCTCTTTTAGATTTTTTTTTAAAATATTGTCTGAGCTGGCTGCCCAGCGTTGACTCAAACGACACAGACCTAGGATGCAACCGGTCCGGATTCCCAACTGGGGTTTTTAATCACTGATATGGCAAATGCTCTATCCACATTACCACTCTGTACCAGACGCAAATGGAGATCCTGATCACACCAATCCAAGCAGCCAGATGTGAGAATGCCAAACACGTACGTGCACAGGGAGAGGGGGCGCCCGGCTAGGGAAGGTACAATGGTGGCTCCTCTTTTTGCCATAGAAGTGAGGAAATTGTTGGATTTGGTACTATTTAAAATCATCCAAAAAAATCTCATATTTTGTGAGATTGATCGAGATATTTTCATATTAGGTGAGATTGATATTGATATTTGATGAGTTTCTTAAAAGAAATATAAATCCAAATGATTAGGACGATTTTATATATCTCTTGGTCTTTTAAAATATGTATAACATTTATAGGAAGTTTCTTATTTATAAAATGAAAGTGTAGAGAATTTGTGTGCCCAATTAGTGTTACTATATGGGAATGGTGGTTCTTCTAGAGAGATTAGGTTTACCCTAAGGGAATGGTGGTTCTTCTAGAGAGAGAGGTAGAGGTAGAGTTTCATATGCATTGGTGCCTCCTGAAGACTCCTTTAGAGTGAGATGTTGGTTCGTGATAGTGCCTCTTGAAGACTCCTGTACAGTGAGAGGTTGATGTTGGTTTTTTGTAGAGAAGCGATTCTTATAGAGATTTTGGGTTGTTTTTTCTTTTCCCTTTTAGTGAGATAACCCTCTCAAAATCGTTCTCTTCTTAGACATTGGTCTAATTATGGAATAGATATTAAAGATCGACATGTTGTCGTTTCGGATAGCAGGTTTAAAAGAATTTGCTCGACTGTGTTTCTGGCGAGGTTTGCTCCAAAAGTTTTGGATATCAATTTGTCATACCTCTTGATGTAGTCCTTTTGGGGTGAATCACGTAAATATTTGTGTTGTTATTGTATGTGTTTTATGCTTTATTTCATATATTTTATTTACCAATATTTGTATTCTTGTTGTATGTGTTTCATACTTTATTTTTTATATCTTATATCTTGCTTGGGAGGTTTTTTCATTTAAAATTTTCTAGATCTACTTTTGAAAATCCGTCACAGAAAATAATTGATTCTGAGTCTCTAAAAATTACGATTTGATCGACTAAAAATTGATTAGCCTATGCATAAATCTTATATGAATTTTTTCATGCACTTCTGTGGTGCGTATTAAAGATTTTCATTTCTTTTTTCTTAGGTCAGTCGCTTAGATTCAGTAGATTATATCCCAAAATTGTCTTAATAATACCCATAGCTAGTATTCTACTCATCATCGTCCTAGCTCTTAGAATCGAAGCATAAGCAGATAGCTTGCATTCAATATTCTTAGAAGCTTTTGGCTAAGGTTTACGTTCATTGCCTATCTAACACAACCCAAGTCCTTTTCGTTGGTTGCGTACCTAACACAACCCGCGTCTTTTACCAGGGCTTGGGACAAGGCTATAAACAATCAAAGTAAAGCACACCTTCAAATAGTATCGAGGAATGTGGT